TCACAAGTATACAAATACAGACCAAGTACTCAATTGATTGTCCATTATTTCCTTGATAAAAAGGCCCATCCTACATCTCCTAAGTGTTTTACACACTAACACAAATGGATTTACTGAATGTGGCAATTCAACAGTAATCTAAATCCATTACACAAGGAATAAAAGCAAGCAACTTTTTAATTTAGCTTTTCCATTTAAGATGACACCTAAACCTTTGTGTCTTTGATGTATACCACAAACAATTTACAAGCTATGAAAAAAAATATATATCTTCTAAAACCTTTTTAATTAAACTGTCTTTGATGTATATATACCATAAACAATTTACAAGTTTTATAGAAATATAGCAATCTTCTACAACATAAATTTTAGACTTTTTAAACTGTTTATTTTTAACCCTGGAAAAATTTTAAAGAAAAAATCAGTTACATGGTTATTACTTACAAATTAATTTCTTTGCCATATGACGATGCTGTTTTGTAAATATATGTAAACAACTTTCCTGTCATCTACTATCTTGTAAACACACACAGCAATGCACTAATATTATTTCCTAACAATTTTTTTTTTTTGAAAATTGAATCCCCATCCTATTAAGGTCATACAAGAAAACAGTTACCGTGCTTTGAACTTGACATCAAGGTTTCTTTATATTCTGTAAGTGATTAAATAAACTATTCCATTATACATATGTATATTTCTGGGTATTTCAGATATCAAATGTATAATCATTATACTTGAAGAAGGAAAAACAATGTCAAGTTTTTGGCCGAAATCAACTTTTCAATTTATTGGTTTGATTATTAACTTTTGTTAGATTAAAAGAAATGTTTCTTTCAAAAATATCCACTTGCCCGATCGGACAAGTACATCAACGGTTTAACTTGCCCGACCTGATGACTTACTTGTCCCGGGCAATCGGACAACCGTTAATGTCGATCCCTGCTCTCTCAAAGACTCAAAGGTGATGGTTCTGATGAAGTACTTCAAGATATCACTTTATCAGGGTATTTGAGATATCAAATGTAAAATACTTCAAGAATAAGCAGTTGGGGCTTTGACTATTCATTGTATAATATTCCAGATATAAATGTTCCAGATACTGAAAATATCAACAGTTACAGTAGAGAGAGAAGGAGAGAAAAAGTTTAAATTAATTTAGGAATCAGACCTAGAAACAGACATTAGTAGGTCTATAGTGTAAGAGGTGTAATTGAAATTCTTCTCAACTACTAATACTCCTAATGATATCATTTACAAGTGCACTACTCAAGATAGTATTTCAAGTTGCCCCTATGATTAATCTGGCTGTTAGAGACTCGCTGCATTTTGAAATTCAAGAAGGTCAAAAGGAGTTGACCGTCTAAGTACCCCAAAAGAAAATGACCCTCCCACCTTAAGATAAGTATTCCGTCTCCCCCCACTCCTGTAAACAATGTAGCTATTTTTCGTCATAAAGAGAGTTTTAAGTGCATCATTAAGTTACAGGATTATCACTCAAGTGAAACATCCTTAGCACTTATGCTATTAAACAATGGGCTGGTAGTTTACATTGAAACAGGAAGAATGCAACATAATCTTTTTAGAAAATTTATTAAAGTTGGCAATTTTTGGAAATGAGGAAAAACATGAAATCAGCAAAAAAAATCTGTTATGTATTGTTTCGTGGAAATCAGTCATTTTTGTTTTGGGGGTTTTTTTATCAATGATTTTTCACTTCCTAAAAATATACATGTATTATTCATTTGCAGCAATATAGCATTTCAATTTGTATCTCTTTATAAATCCAGAATTATTAACACAATATTTTATCTTTATATCATGGATACAGCAATATCAGTATGTTAAACTGATATTTCCTCTGCCTGATGTGTTAAGGCCAAGGAATTTGCATACATTTTCCTGTCTTTTCTCTTTTCTGGCAAGTTCCATCAATGAACTTTTTTTACCAGCTCCTGCTAAATGCTCTGACAAGTGTGCCAACCTATGGTAAATGCCATAACCAATTATCACAGATTTAAGGAGCAACATTTTTATCAAAGTACTGAGACAGTACTGAAAGACTGTCAAAATATCATTTGGCAAATGAAAATTTTAATAACATTTATTTTTTCAGTTTTAAAATTACATGACATTTTTCATTTAATTTGATTTGAAGTATTTTATATGGAGCTCTTCTTTTTCAAGGAGATCAAAATAATTTTTTCGGAAGTAAACAATGGATGATGCGTACACAGTCCCCCCCCCCCCCCTATTTACAGTTAATATTTTCAGTTTTAACACAAAATACTTTATTTTAATACAATTGATATCAATTTCTTCAATATACAAAATATTTATTTCCAATAAAAACCCAGTATATTTCCACTGTCTGATTTGTAAGTAAGAGCCAGCCTGTGACGGTGACCATTTAAACCTTTGCCAGTATGGAGTCCCCAGGGCCCCTCCTGCTACACAACTTTGGATTTTCCTATTTGACCTGGCAGCAGTATTCCTGTCCAGATCAATGCCTAACTAATCGTGTGATTTACCAGCTCCTGCTAAATGCTCTGACAAGTGTGCCAACCTCTGGTACCAATGCCATAACCAATTATCACAGATCAATAAGGAGCAACAGAGCCAAGTATTTTTAAAATGAGCATTTATACCCTCCTCTCCTAAAAGCATTAATTGCAGCATGACACTCTTAAAATAGTCATTACTTTAAGGTGATTATTTTTAGGGACGTAAGCGTCATAGACTTAAGACCTCTGTAAACAATTAACAGATTTTTATTTGCAATTAAGAATAAAAAAATTTGACTGGTTCATATTATATTTGACAAAGTAATCTTTGTTCAAACATTAATTCAACATGTCAATATTTGTGATTACATTTCCTTTAATTACATTCGTCTTTCTCCCTACTAGTATTTTCTAAGAAGATTGGGTTTTAAGAATTGAATTATTGCTCATTTGTTGAAGCTCATCAAGCTAATGAATAAACCAAAGAGATGCAAGATAAAATATAATTTGTCTGTAACCCTCTTTACTACTAGACTCCAACAACAATTGTGTACAACTGTCAAAATGTTGGATAATCTCAAAACGCAGTGCAGCACAATGCTGAAGGTAAACTACTGTACTTCATATGAAAGACATAAAACCACAAGATGAACCCCACTCAGATGATGCACCTTCTCCAATAGACATCCACCTTAACGTAGACAGGTGCTTGTTTTGATTACAGGTAATCAAACCCAGACTGGAAGTAATAGATTTAATTAAGACCACAATAACCAGACAATCAAAGCGAGCTGCCCAGTGTCCAGAACACCTGTATTTACTTCCAGCTTCTGAGAGAAATACTTCCTTGCTATTGGTTTCTGTCAATGATCTTTTCTTCTTAAGGGAAGGGGGAGGGGGATGAACATATTTCATTAACAGAGTCAAAAGAATCAGACACAAGTTCAGAAACTTAGAAAGTAGGGGGGTGGTGATAGGGAGGGTGTTGTCTGCATGCAGGTACCACAAACCATATGCCATTCACTCTGTTGAAGTACAGTGTTTTTTCATACATATATTTCATGCTTTTGAGTGTATGCAAATGTACATGCAGACCTTTTTTCAATTTGATTTGAAATTGAAGATATTTTTATGTACAGTTGAACTTAAGTATCTCAAACACTGATATCTTGAACATTCTAGATTTGTCAAAGTGATTTGGAAGTTCCGAGCTCTACTTACTCTTAAGTATTTTAATCTTTCATATCACAAATAATCAGATATCTCAAAGTTTATTCTTAGTCCCACTGAGGCGTTTCCATATCAGAATAAAAAATTCTAGAGAGGGATGTTAAACGACATACAAACATACAAACAGTCTCATTGAGACAGAGATAACCAAGTTGGACTGTACATTGTACTTCAGCAAACTTGCTAAATGTCAGTGTAAATCCTGTATCTTTCTTTATTGACCATCATGTCAGTGACAAAATTCCTTTGCAACCAAGTATCATCCTCAAACACAGTAATTAACAACTCAAAACATCATCTACAAATGATCCTCTGTTTATGACACTTTTAAATCAATTTTATACAAATGTTAATTCACTTAAGTGTATGGTGATGTAAACAACCAATGACACAGGAATTTACTGACAATTTTTGTTGTGGGATATTGCATTAATTATATGTGCAATGTGCCTAAAGAAGTCAAAATACTACATTTCATAAAACTACGAAAACCTGAGAGCTTCAGAGGGCTTTTTTGAACTCATCTTATATGTACCAGTACATGTATTATAAACTAGGAAAATAAAAAAAATGTGCATGAAAATTTAAGTCTTTACTCTTTAATTGGAATACATGATATATGCTTCGGTGGTAAAGGTTAGTATTTACACATAATCAATTAAACAAGCGAATTAAATTTCTGATCAACAAAAGCCCAGTCTTGCCCACTGTAAATATCAATAAGATATGAGGGACAAATTAGACAAGACCTGATGCAGGTCTAGGGAGGCTGCTGGAGAAACTAATCAAAGTGACCAAATATGATTAATAAGTTATACACCTTGGGGTCATAAAACTCATTATCTGGTCTGGAACTAGGGGAATACATAACACATCGGGAGAATATTAGAGTAGGTTTAATTCACCCTTCACATGATATCAGTAATTACAGAATTTAATTTAACCTAATACTTGATTTAGAATTGCAGCATTTTTTATCAAGCACCCCGTAGCTTATGATAGTAAATGTGAATTTTGCCTGTTATTTTCGTAAGCAATTTAAAGCACTTTTAGTCGTACAAAATCAATAGGTGTGATGTAAAATACATTGCATTTAGCATAGCTTTAAGATCTATACCTGTCCGCAGTTTATCTGCAGACAGCTTACAATTCAATGAATAACAAAAATCTATATATTAATATTGCCTTTTTTATGCGTCGCCACTTTTTAATAAACACAATGGAGAAATGCACACTGAAATCAATAATGAAAAATTTATAACTCACCCCTCCAACATTTTCAAACAGTTTTACAAGGCTACGAACAGAGGCTCTTGAACCGGTACGAACTAAAGAAATCAAACTGTGGTCCCGTTTTTTAGAGAGTGATGAGCTCCGATTGGATTTCACATCTTGGGATTTCGATCGTCGTTCACGAAACTTTGTCCGTCCTCTACTTCGAGATTCTCGCTCCTCTGATTTCACATCTTCTGCAAATCCCACTTTTTTCCGCGATTTGGTTGACATTTTTTCTCACTTTATACTTGCACTTAATTATCCAGTATACATAAGCTGTGGGCTATGTAGATAATCATTGTGCACTTCCATTCAAGAATTAAAACACACACCAACACAATTGCCCAAGGACAATTCACAATGGTTTCAACATTTCACCATAAAAACCAGATCCAGCTCAATTATTATGCAAAACCTGCTATGATTACAACCTTCTGTGTAATGCATTAATTTCAAACTTATTTTGGGTGTAGCAATTGTAGAAAACACTTCTTGATTTTTATCACGTCATAAACATCACAAGTACTTAGCCGAAATTCATCTAAGTGGCCATTCGAAATCCAGGAAAAGCTAATAGCAGTGAGCAGTGAACAACTGTTGACCAACTTCCTTAATCAAGGGCTGTCACCAAATTCCATCAATTTCACCACAAAACTTAAAACCTTCGTTAATACCTGAATTTCACCTTTTCTAGAATCCTCCCCAACTGGATGGTCTTTTTACACTGAAAACTTGGCCTTCTGTTGAAATAATCAATGGTGTAACATTCCAAGTGTACATGTATAAGTCAATTATCAGTGTGGAGAATAATACACTAGGACGGGGAGTTTATACTCGTGAGACAAGGGACAGGTAAAAATTACCGATAATCACTAATCCAAACGGTCAATTAAAGCTGTCGCAAAGCCAGGCCAATAAACCCTCTAAAGTTAAACAAGGCCTAATTTTTTTAACCAGGGTATACACTGAAGAACCCTGATAATCTGTCGAAGAGGATATTAATCCGAAAGGTTAGACCATAGGCAAAGGAAACAGTTAATCCTTGACGGAGAACAATAGTTCATCTAGCAGGCCGTTAAGTCATTTATTTTGACGAACCAGCCTATCACGCCTAATTAAATTTCTTTCTCTCCAACTGTCTATCACAGGTTTGTGTACATCATGTACATCAGCTGCTTCAGGTTTTTAGGGGGTTATATATTATAAAACAATGCACTGTATACACATTAAACCTGGGGAGGATAAACCTAGGTATAGATGAACAGTCGGGTCTTCAATCAGCTTCGTTTTTTTCCCCTTCATTTCTCCTAAATCACCTGCGTATTCCTCTCTTCCTCATACTTTGGGTATACAAACAGGATATGAAACTGGATTTTGGTCACAATTCTTCGCCTTCCTAAATGTTATTTCCTCAAAATGCCCTTTTGTTTCTATTTGGCCCACTTCCTTACATCTTGACCTTCACCATTTCAGGTGCCATACAGGTAAATACCACCTGTGTTGTTTGTTGATTTTTTGATAAAACAGAAATTTGAAACAATCCAGGCCAAACTTTTCAAAACTCAGAACATCCACTTTTCATTTGAATAACACGCAGTGATTTTTTGGTTCTTTTTTACATGAATGATGCTGGGCTTCCTTCATCAGAATCAATCCATATTTTCAGGTACAGTATGTCCACTTCAATGTATAATTAACTTATCACTTTCCTTGAGTAGCTTTTTGAAAAATCTACCTTTTCTTCTATCAAAATGTAATCTGTAGTTTCAGGTGCTTTAAATACACGCCTTTTCAATAACACACCTCATCAATGAATAATAAAATCCACAATTTCTAGGTATACAGTCGGCTTAAAAAATCAATACATTTTTTCCCCACCTTATTCCTCTTTAGTAAAATGTCCCCAATATACAATAAAAATGTACACACTCAAATTCACACAGTAAGTATATATCGTCTTCATCAGCTCATACAGTAACTATATCGTCTGTATCAGCAAACCTCTCATATTAACACAGGTCCAGCACTATAATGCTATGCGACTCTCAGCGTTGTTTACGATTACAAACGACATGTACATCAGCTAAGTCAGAACCATGAGCACTTACTTTGATCCTCGTAAAACGACATTCATTCAGGGAAGAGATGACGGCTAATGAGCTTCTGGATTGACTTTCCCGGGCACTGTCATTTACGTGAAAAAAAGTTATATATATATTTGTTCTCCTCGCAACCTCAACATGAAGATTTCAAAAAAAAATTCAATTAAACCAACTCCTTTATATTTTGCAACCTTTCAATCAGGCCTTAATAATTACCGAGAGGAAATGATTTTTTTTCTATGGTGTAACCCTTGGTGTTTTTTCAGTGTCAATAAACTAAGATTTTCTCAAAGGATCTACACATGTAAGTACAGAACACATAGTTGTACTTTCACCTGCTTGTTGACACAAAAGATCAAAATAAACACGGTTGTAATCCTAATTTTTTTGCCTTCCAGTTATACTTGCCTTCCAACAATCAATTCTTCAGATTAAGAAAAGTTCAATCATTAAAATCTCTGAAAGAACCCACACAGAATTTATAAAAGGCTTGTTTTACATTATATCCAAGATTCAAAACCCCTCGGGGGACTTTGTGCCATGGTTTTTGATATTGCACGAAATCAATATACACCTTTCATTGATACAGATCTAATCCTTTACATTCAAAGAGAAAATTTTTCACCACTAAGTCTATTTTCTCTGATTGCACAGGTAATAGTATAACACTAAGGGGGCACCTTGGTCAGAATTCGTACAACAGGGGGTTCTGTATGATATGTGTTTACACTTGCAGCACAATAATTTTGGCAATAAAATTCCACATGGCTTCACAGGAAATGAGATTGCCTTGTTCCCTTCCTTCCAAACGTTTGTTTGATCCTGACCTGACAGATTGCCAGGCTACCCCTCACTCCAACTTAGAGAAATTCGGGTGTCAACGGTCCTTTCATTCATCAGAGATTAATTACAGTATCGAATTCCTCTTCAGTCAACGGACAAGTGTTTTTACAACCTGGTATCTTTGGGTCATTAAAAACGACTTCTCCTACTCCCATCTTTCCATCAGAAGTTGAGGTGTCATGATTGTAGGTATTTTTAGGCACCAGGATATTTCCTACCGAGAATTATCACCGAAACTGACGGACATGTTCCCCCTGTTATGTGTTCCATTCATAAGAATATCACTGATAGATTAGATACTAACTTAGTCTGTGATTATATAAAGATTGAACAATTCCAACCCTTTCCTAAATCGCTAGGCACTGCACACACCAATTGCCTGGGTCTTATTCTTATATCATCTTTGCCATTGTTAAAGCAGGTTCAAATTCCAAATGGAGAACCTTTTAAATTTTATGAATCACATTTAATTTCCAATGTGAGGAAGAATATTATTATCAATTCAGAACATGCAAGACAATCCTCTCTCTGCTAGGTAAATTCCCAAGGTTTGCATTCCTGTGGTGAACAGGTAAAAAACAAATAATGGGTACGCAATAGAAAGATCTTCCCACAGCTCTTAAAAAAACTCTTCAATTGTCATCAATATAGGTAAATGCCGAGGAAAATCTGCAAACTGCATAAACAGGCAAAATACCTTTTAAACAAATCGATAAAGCCAATGTAATTTAAAAGTACTAAATAGTTCAACACATTGTCCTTCCTTTTAAAAACTGCATTTTTGCCTCTCTAGGTTATATTGTAAATTGATGTCAACTGTCTTCAAAATTCAATGCTTTATTCTCACGCAAATATCAGTCTGCAACAGATCTCCAATGACAAAACATTTGACCTTCAAAAAATCCCAAGGTCATTTTGAAACTGTAACTTTTGCAATACATTTTACAAGTAACAATGAATACCAACATCAATTGTTCACAAGTTTTGAAGAGGAAAATCTGTTGATGGAAAAAATACAAGCTCAGCAGGATTTTGATGAAGAAGAATGTTTACACCCTGTTGTAAGCCTCAGAACAAATTTCCCTTGCAGAAGAGTTAATCTTCCTGGATTATCGAAAGCACTAAGCCACAGTTTACAGTTAACTTCTTGGCCTTGATGTCATCTAAGCACAACAGCTTCTCCTCCCATAATTCACCTGTAATTCCTGGTATGGATCGGACAGTTGCATCATTTAGGATTTGTTCAGTCAATCACTTAAATCTACAGCCTGATGGTTTTCTCATTAAATATAAATGCAATTTATGAAATAACTCGGTAAAATTTTGAACTTCCTACATATTTTAACATTTACATTCACAAAGAACAAAATCACAAAGGACTATGATTATGAAAATGTGAATAAAAACTAAAACCCTCAGGATCAATTAATATGTCCTATAATATTGATATTAAAATACTAATTTGTAACAAGTATCTAATATTCAAAGGGCAATATAATAAACACAATTGAATGACATGCATGAGCTTATGTAATATGCCAAAATAGTTCTCTTAAACACATTATCTTTCAAATTGACGCATTTATGCATACTTTTCTATCTTGTTTGTTTCAACAAAACAATTGCAACATTTTATGCATCTTTGAAAGCAAGTTCTGCCAAATATTTCTTTCATCTTATAAACAAATACAAGGAAACTGAAGAAATTCCACTGTGTGATATCTGTTCAGATGCAAATTAATTGCACAAAAAACCTGGTAATTAGACTTGCTCAAAATGCATGCCTGAATGCAAGAAAATTCAAACCTTGGGATAAAAAACAAGAAATTGAAAGATCAAGAAGTCTGAGAGCCAGAGTTCACTGCACTCAGAAGAGGGGGAAAACTTAAGTCAAAATTGGCACTTGATACTTCATAAAGCCCTTCGCCTGTTAATAATTATAACATGTGTATTGAAAAGACCAGGGGAAGACTTTTGAGCTTTTTGGCAATTACGTACCAATTCCTGTTCAAAAGCGTTTTTCTGTATACATATATGATATCATTAACATTCTTTTCCCTTGTCCTTTAGCCAGTAGTGTCTTTTCGCGGCCAAAAACTTCAAATAATTCCTTTCTCTCAAATCTAACATTGGCAATGCAAGATCTGTGTAATATTATGTTTCTGTAAATATGTAAGGTGCTGAAATCTCATGCATGGATACATATGTACTTTTTCCATTAATCCAACAAGTGTTTTAGCAATTTTCTGAAGGTAAAATCAGTAAATTGTAAAGGTTTTATAGGTAATTATCAAAAAATTGAATGAAGAAAAGACAATTCTGTATGCCCAAATATTTTTGTCTACATGGTTTAGCTGAAATATTATATATCTACTGTAAAATGCTTGGTCTAAAGGAATATTACAGGAATCCTAACACCCATTCTCAATATAAGGGCACAAATGCCTCTCTGATTTTTTAAAAAATGAAGTTCAAGATAAAAATTTTTCTATCAATTACCTTTGAAAGAAAGTATCTGAAGATTTTGTTTCCAGTTTTTTTTCATCAAATTTTAATACATGGAATAATGACAAGACGGTAAAGTAGAGGGTGATTTTATTCAGAAATGTAGCTTGAAATGTACGTTACTCTTTCTTCAATGTCCAAAAAGATATGTAAAAAAAATGTAGTCATTAAAATCACAATTGGAATATCTCATCTTAACACCAGCACATCCTACCAACTCTGTCAGCAACATATTTTCTCGGCATACGAACGTGCGCTTGATTTTTCCTTTCAAAAAACAAAGGTTACTTTTTGACCCAGATGTATAAAAACATTTTTTTTTAGATATATGCTTTAAATTCTTCTCTCTGTTTTGTTTAGAGCGATCAGTTTAGAATCTTGTCATTTTCTATAGATAGTGGAACTTAACATGTACATGTAGTAAAATTATATTTTGTAGTTACTGTCTATTTTAACATATATCCATGCCGATTTAGACAACTACGTAAATGTAACGTACATTTCAAGATATATTTCTGTTAAATAAAAAGCTTAAAATTCATCTAAAAATTCATAGTTTTGTTTCAGTTTATTCCAAAAAAGATTCTCTATGTAATCACATTGTGTTATATGTCACAATCATCACTATAAAGACACGATTGCCTCTGAATATGAGTAGGTAACGTACATTTCAAGCTTGTAATGTACGTAAATTAGTAATAAGAAAATATTGGAAAAAGAACAGTTATTGACATAAAAATCATTTCAATGAAGTGTTTTAACGCAGTAATATAAGAAATAATATGGTAACAAACGTGGTTATTTGTCATCAACTACGTGAATGTCACGTCACTTCGGTAACGTTCATTTCACATATTACTGGGGAGTCCCCTCCATCTCAGTTCATTACCATTCTTTTGTGCTGTTTCGCTGAAATTGACACCGGTCGTAGCCTAGTTACTTCTACCTGTGTGCAAGGGTACAGACAAAAAAAAGAGTCAGACGTATTTTGCTATGATCTAACAATGCTTGTGTTTGGCCATTGAAACTTAACATAAATCTATTCCGAATATATCCATCGACAGTCTTGTTAACAATTTCATTTTAATAGTATGTTGCAACATCGTTTGTCAAAACACAAACATACGTAATTTTCAGCAGATCTGGAAAAATATAA